GCCTGGTCTCTGGATGGGTCTCTGCCTTGGCCACAGTGCCATCTCCAGTCAGCACCTCGCTGGATACCAGGTCCCCTGGCTGGCCATCTCTGGACTCCCTAAGTGAGTCGCCCTCTCGATGGGCCTTCACAGGTGTGTGGAGATGCTGATCAAGGAACAGATGCGGAAGTATAAGGTGAAGATGGAGGAGATCAGCCAGCTGGAGGCCGCTGAGAGCATCGCCTTCCGCAGGCTCTCGCTCCTGAGACAGAACACTGTGAGCGCACGTTGCAGGGTGGGGCTGGAAGACACCTGGGTGGGAGTGGCTCTGTGAGCGGGGCTTGAGTGACAGGGCTTGGGTGTCAGGACAGGGTCTTATTTCCCTTACCAGGCATAACCCCAGCCACAGGCAGCCTGGTAAGGGGCCAATTCCTGCCTCAACCAAATGACCGCTGCCCTCTCTGTCATGCCAACTGCCTCTCTCAGGGCAATGGGAAACCTGTCACCCACATGGTGGTGTTTCATTCTCCAGCCCCGGTCCTTGCTGACTTGGACCCTGCCCATGGGGGACCGATCCCACAGAAGTGGCCCAGAGTGGGGGTTAAGGGAGACTTAAGAGGCTGGGTCCTGGGCTCCAATGGGAGGGCCACGTGCTTGTCCCCATGGTCAGATGTAGCTCAGTACCCATGACACAACCAGTGTCTTAGTCATGGTCCCCCTCTCTTCATCTCTCCCCCAGCCATGGCCTCTCAAACTGGGGTTTTCATCTCCCTATGAGGGGGTTCTGGTATGTACGCCATCAGAGGGCCCACCCTGCATGTCTTCAGTGCAGTGCATGCTGGGGTTTCCCACTGCCGCCAGGGCCCTAGTAGGATAGGCCCAGCATGTCCTAACCTCTGGAAGTGCATGCTGAGGGAGGCCTGTTTCCTGCTGACTACCTGTGCTGAGGACAACTAACCAGCTGTGCCTGGGCCACTGGGTCCCCGAGTTGTCCCTGATGAAGCCTCACTAAGCCCAGCTGTCCACAGCAGAACTAACCACCCCCAGCGCTGTGATGCCACATTCTCTCCACCCACCAGCACTGACTCCATCCGCCTGAAGGGGCCAGCCAGACCTGCCGCTTCTCTGTTGCAGAACAAGAGCCCCGTGGCCCGGGGAAGCAGCGGCGGTCCAGAGGAGCTGGGGGTGCTGCCAGAGGAGGAGACAGCCGGCCAAGATGAGGACCGGGAAAAGGAGATTCTCATCGAGCGGATCCAGTCCATCAAGGAAGAGAAGCAAGTGTTCCTCCATCCCCTGGCCTCGTCTGTACCACCCAGCCCCCATCCACTAGTCCCTCCACTGTGAATAGAGAACCTAGCCATTGGGGGCCAGTGGGCAAGGCTCAGTTCCGCTGTCCAGTGCCCATTGCATGGAGGGCTGCTGTTCTAAACCACAGCCAGTCTGGGGCTCTGTTTAAACCTCATGCTTGACCACAGGGAACTGTGGTGCCCCACAGAGGTGATGTTCAAACTTTGTGTTGAAGGTGGCCTTAGCTAGGGTGACCGACTAATTTGTGATCATTCGAGGTGTAAGTATGAAAGAGGCTATTACTTCAAAATTACACCAGGCCCTGGCTGGTATGGCATAGTGGATTGAGCGTTAACCTGCGAACCAAAAGGCTGCCGGTTCAATTCCCAGTCAGGGTACATGCCTGGGAGATGGGCCACTTCCCCATTTGGGGGGCATGCAAGAGGCAACTAATGGATGTGTCTTGTGCACATCGGTGGTTTTCTCCCCCTCTCTCTAAAAAAAATAAAATCTTTAAAAATAAAAAAATAAAATAAAAGTAAAATTATGCCAGGAGAACAGATGTGGCCCAGGGCTCCTGGCCACCCTAGTCCTACAGAGAAGGGTGCTCCAGGCAGCAGGAACAGCACACACATGCAGAAATCCTGAGGCAGGATTTCTCCCCAATTGCTCCCCACTTGCTCAGTACCAGGCCAGATGCCAGGCTTTGCCCAGCAGCCTGACACCTTCCTGTGAGCTTTGCAGGGTCAGGGGCATTTTGGGCCGGGAATGCTTTGGGGGATGTGTGATTCTGGGTACAGGGAGTCCCACCCAGGACCCAGATGGCCTGCTCTGTCCCCCAGCATCTTGGCACTTTACATAGGGTCTTTCTCCATGGGAATAGCCTTGGACATGTGACCTCTCTCGCCTGCAGGGAAGACATCACCTACCGGCTGCCAGAGCTGGACCCTCGGGGCTCTGACGAGGAGAACCCAGACTCAGAGACGTCAGCCAGCACCGAGAGCCTGCTGGAAGAGCGGGCTGGGCGGGGGACCTCGGAAGGTCAGTATTAAGGTAGCGTCTGCTTTTTTCCTCCCATGTCCACCCCCGGCAGGCCCCTGGGTGAGGGTCTGTCTGCTGGCCCTGAAGCTTCAGTAACTCTGCCATCTGTCTTTCAAAAGGACCCCCTGCACCTGCTCTCCCTTGCCCCAGTGTGCCCACCCCAAGCCCCCTCCCCGAGGTGGCCACCCCTCCGAGACGAAGGCCGTCGTCCTTCGTGACGGTCAGAGTGAAGACCCCCCGGCGGACCCCCATCATGCCCACGGCCAACATCAAGCTCCCACCTGGCCTGCCCTCCTACCTCCCTGGCCGGGCACCAGGTGTCCAGGAGGCTGTTGTCCCAGTGAGGCGCCGAGAGCCACCTGCCCGCCGCCCGGACCAGGTACACTCTGTGTATATGACGCTGGGTGCACATGCCCCCGTGCAGGGTGCTCCAGAGCCCCTGGACAAGGAAGACCGGCCCCCGGGGGCTAAGCGGAGATACTCAGACCCCCCAACCTACCGCCTGCCCCCCACCTCGGGCCAGGCCAATGGCTGATGTCCCGCAATGCCAGAGTCCAAATATCTGGGATGGCCCTGTGCCAGAGCTCCAGACCAGCAGTCAGCTGTTCGAGAAGGATCTGGAATGAAAAGCTCCAAGAGTAATGTGAGGTGGGCACCGGCTCCGTGCAGAGCCCAGACAGAGAGAGGCCGGCCAGGGCTGAGCCCCAGTGCTGCACAGATGTGCCGCCCAGAGCCCCACATCCTGGCAGGCAGCCTGGCTTCTCCCCCTCCCTTTTATACGGTTTTACAGTTAACTGTTACTTTGTGCCTGGGTTACGTAACTTTGAACTGTAACAGCCTTAACAGAAGACCAAACTGTTTTTTATATGTGTATGTACAAACTTTTATATTAACACCCTGCCTCGCCTTTATAACCTGGACACAGACTTCAGAGCGAAGCCCTGGCCACCTCACCTCAGAGGCTCAGGCCGCACTGAGGATGGCTTGGACCAGGGATTTGGACACTTGGGGCACCTAACTGCCCCCAGTCTGTCTGGGACTCATCCTCAGGCCTGGCCAGCAGCCACCTGGCCCACACGCAGAGGAGCGGTGGAGCCTTCCATGACGATCCAGGCTGTTGGCTGGAGTGAGGACAGGAGGTGGGGGGCAGCCTCCACCTGGGACACCACAGACCTCACATCCAGAGAGACTCAAATGTGGCCATCACTCTCTCTACTGTTCCCTGAATGGAGGAGGCCGCCCTTGGCACTGCCTGCCCCATGTGGCAGAACAGGAACTCAGGACTGCTGATGGGCTAGGAGGGCAAGGCCAGGGTTTGCACGTCCCCACAGTGACAGCCTGGGGAATCTTCCAAAGTGGGGCTTCCCTCTCTCAGGCTCCACTCATTCTCTGGACACCTAGACAGATGGCCCCTGGTCTGGGACTAGAGGCATCCTACAAACCATGTGAAATAAAGAAAAAGTGCCTGAGAGGTGTTTGCCTGTGATACCTGCTCTGGGTTGGAGGAGCATGTCACCACCTCTGGGAGGACCTGCTTGAATCCTCCAGCAAACACTGTGGTTGGAATGTCACACATACTCTTCACCAGAGGGAGTTGGGCCTGGTGGAGGCACACACATACCAATCCAGAAACCAAAGGTAGCAGGGAGTTCTTGGAGCTGCATTCAGTGAGAAGAGCCTGCTGTCCTGAGAGCTGCCTCTTGTCATCCTGTTTTAGCACCCAGCCTCCCCCCGGGGGGGCGGGGGGGCTTCAAAGGGCCAGGAGCAACCTCCCCATCCACAAGCTCCCAGGCTACAAACTAGTCCCAAACTGGGAACTGGCTGGCAGGAGGGGGCCCATGAGGGTGGGCAACCAGTTGGAACTTGCCAGCAGGTGGGGAACAGTACAGACTACACCTGCAGGAGACTTAGGGGGCCTTGTCCAAGGTCACATGAAATGTGTGACTTTGGTGTGACTGGGATTCAAAACCTGCTAGGTCTGCCTCTAGATCCTCCCTTTACCCATCCTGGGTTTAGTCTCATCCATTGTGTCCTGTGAGGGCAGCTGGCCCACTGGCGGGGTTGGCATGCAGATGACCTGAGGGCTGGATAGACCAAAGGGTTGCATTGCAGGGTCATCCCTGGGAGTTCAGTGGGTTCTTTCCATTGGGCCCTGAGCCTTGGGTGCGGTGCAGCCCCATCTCTTGCTCCAAGGGCTAACCTGTCACCCCCTAGAGGCAGACACTCCCTCTGCCCATTTCCCTAGGGAGAAAACGCAAAGGAAAGGCGGGAGGGTTGAGTCAAAGTCAGGGCTGGGGCCGAGAGGCTCATAACCACGTAAGTTTGAATGGTCCCCCAGGCCATGAATTCCGAAGTCCACGATTATGAGCTCTCCAGCCCCGTCCCTGCCCCAAGGAAATTAGGGAAGGCTGCCTGGGTGTGGAAGAGCTCATATGGAAAGCACCCTGCCAGGAGTGAGTGTGTTGGAAGAATTTTGAATAGGGTACACGTTGCACGTGGGCCTGACACCAAAGGACGTGGTCCTCTCAACCCTTCTTGAAGGGTTAAAGTGCTCACGAGGAAAAGAGGCAATTCGGCCCTAAGTAAACATGGACAGGATGGCCTCTCCTTGAACCGAGACTTGACTCCCGCCCTAAAGCCGGGAGAGCGAAAGAAAGGAGTACGGCCCCCCCCGGAAGGAGGTCAAATGGGGGCACTTCCGCCCTCCCTTAAGATGGCGCCGGCGGAAGGGGTGGGGTATCGCTGGTTAATGATGGCCGCGTCAAGGCTCGAATTGAATCTGGTGCGGCTACTGTGCCGCTGCGAGGCGATGGCAGCAGAGAAGCGGGACCCGGATGAGTGGCGTCTGGAGAAGGTGAGAGAACCTGCATTGCTGCGTAGACCTCGACTTCCGTGAGGTGGTGCCCGGGGCTAGCAGCCGGTTTTCCCAGCCCCACCATCCGCCCTGGCCACGTCCCTTCGGTGGGCTCCGCCACGTCCGCCCTAGTACCCGGGGCTCAGCTGCCCGTGCCTCCTTGACTTTGGCCCCTCCCGTTTCCATCCCCCTCTGCCCCAGTCCCAACCCCTCTTTTGGTTCTTACTTTCTTCGTGCATGATGCAGGGGGGAATGGGATACCCGGCTGACGCCCACTTTTCCTCCCCAGTACGTGGGAGCCCTCGAGGACATGCTGCAGGCCCTGAAAGCCCACGCGAGGTGAGTGCAGGCGACCAGAGGAGCTTCAAGTCCTGGGCGGGGTGTGGGGGCAGTATACAGGCCAAGGGGTAGGTTCTGTGCGGGATCCCTAGGTTCTGGTCCCTGCTGCGACCCTTCCCTGAACCAAAGACAGCAGGCAGGTTTTCTTTTTCTACGTTTCGCCATCTAGCAAGCCGGTCCCTGAAGTGATCAATGAATATTCCCGCAAGGTTGACTTTCTGAAGGGGATGCTACAGGCAGAGAAGCTGGTGAGCACCGGAGCCTCTTTCCTCAGCTTCTTCAGCCCCCATCAGGCTCTCCTGAGTCCCCAGGACCAGACCCTATGGTGGTGACCCCTCTTCCTTCTTCTGCAGACCTCGTCCTCGGAGAAGGCACTAGCCAACCAGTTGCTGGCCCCTGGCCGTGTGCCCACCACAGCAAGGGAGCGGGTGCCTGCCACCAAGACGGTCCATCTGCAGTCCAGGGCGAGATACACCAGCGAGATGCGGAGTGAGCTGCTAGGCACGGTAGGGCTCCCTCCCTGGTCCTTGGGATCCCCTCAGTTGGGACAGGAGTTCAGTGCCTGGGGGTGGCCAAAAACAGCAAATACTATCAGGAGCAGGGACCCTAGGGGGCCTCTGCCTTTGGCTGTAAAAACAAGGCTTCCCAACAGAGGGGGCATTCTGGCCAGGACTTTGCTATAGGAACAAGAGTTTGTTTCAAAAGTGGCACCTGTCCAGTTAAGCCACAGAGTTAGCCCAGTGCCAAGTTTGGCTCCTGGCTTTCCACTTGCTGCAGATAGACAAGATTTTTTCATCTGTAAAATAGGATGACAGGTGCCTTTCTCAGCACTTTACATAGATCAGCTAAACCATTCAAAACAGGAGCTGTTGACACTGCCAGCTTATAGCTGAGGAAACTGAGGCTCAAAGGTTGCAGGACTAGCCCAGGGCCCTGACTAAGGGTGCAGGGGTTCTGAGAGCAAACAGGACAGTTTTGGGGGCATGACAAGGTGGATGATTTCCTGCCTGTCCTTTTCCCTACAGGATTCTGCAGGAGGTGAGTCGCCCTGAGCAGAACAGGACTCAAGTCCCAGCTGCCTGGGACATGACATGTGTCCTTGCTGCTCCCCTTCCCTTGTGCCTCCTCTGGGTCCATCACCAAGTCATGTCTGGAGGGGGCAGTTGGGACAGAGGATGTGGTCCTCAGAAGAAACTGGAAGGAGGAAACTGGGGCCAGAGGAAACCCAGACCAGGATAAGGAAAACATCTCAGACAAGAGGGCTTTGGAGCTACAGCTTTGAGGCATGATCAGCTGGGAAAGGACCTATGAGTGGCAGACCCATCCCAGGTAATTAATGGTCAAGAATCTGGAACACAAAATCAACCCTTCCCTCCTTTCTGCTTGGTCTGTTCCTCTTCCAGAGCCGAAGCTGGATCTGAGGAAGAGGACGTGAGTATCTTCAGCCCTTGGGCAGCACTGGGGGGAAGGAGGGCTGGATAAACCTTGGACCACTGAGGAGCCCCCACGAGTGTCTAAATCACCCATCAGACACCACTTCTGGGAATCCTTTACCCAGAAGCCAGAGCAAATAAGGGGAGACTGAGCCCCAAGTGCGGCAGTGGTTGCAGCCATAACCTCTGGGTTCCCTGGGAACATGTTTGTCTCGTCCCCTCCCCCACCCTGTCTCATGTCCACCTGTCCACTTATGTGTGAGGTCAGTGGGGTGGCAGGGCCCAGGCCAGGGGATGAGAAGCAGTCGGCCGCTGAGCTAGACCTCGTCCTGCAACAACAACAGAACATCCAGGAGAAGCTGGCAGAAGAAATGCTAGGCCTTGCCCGGAGCCTTAAGACCAACACGCTGGCTGCCCAGACTGTCATCAAGAAAGACAACCAGGTACGGGGACTATGAGAGCTCTGTAGCTTCTGCCCTGGGGCATCAGAGAAGGTTGCCCAGTAGAGGGGCATCAGGGCTGGGACTTGGCTGGATAAATAGTTTAGTGGAAGGCAAAACTGGCATGTCCAGCAGAGGAAACAGCGCCAGCAAGGGCCAAGAGGTGCTGAGTTGCCCCAAGGTGGCAGGATAGAGGCCACACTGGATGCCAGTCTTGTCATTACTCACCCACCTCACCCCTAGACCCTGTCGCACTCACTCAAGATGGCTGACCAGAACCTGGAGAAGCTAAAGACAGAATCAGAGCGACTGGAGCAGCATGCACAGAAATCAGTCAACTGGCTGCTTTGGGCCATGCTTATCATTGTCTGCTTCATTTTCATCAGCATGATCCTCTTCATCCGTATCATGCCCAAACTCAAATAAAGACCTGTCCCAGCCCACCCCATCTGTCCTCTATCTGCCCTTCACCCCTACCCAGAGGTACCTTTTGGGGTGGACAAGATGGCAAGGCCCTTGGAGGCCCCAGGGAGCTGCAAAGACTGAATGTGCAGGGGAGGAAGATCAAACTAGGGGCAGGAGTGGTGACCCCACTTTCCTTTGGTACCTGCCTCATACCAGACAAGGCAGGGCCTCTAGAAGCCCTGGGAGACCCCAGTCTGCTAGAGTCAGAGCCAAACACAGTGCCTCAGCCCTGTGGAGTCAGGGTGAGTGAGGCCTGGAGGGTGGGGGAGAAATGGGGCCTTGTCTGACGGTCAGCCTGGAGAAGGGGCATCGGTGCTGGGCCTTCCTTGTCGTTGGAGGTGGTGATTTAGTGGCAGTGCACGGCACAGCCTAAGCTCTCAGGACATTGCAGATGCTTCACACAGTCACTCAGCAAACCTGGGAGGTTTTGGTGGAGTCCCTGCCCTGCTCAGGCCATAGTCTGATCATTCCAGACGAGAACTGGAGGGCACTGGTGATGGGACCCTGGAAGGGGTCATGAGTGGGAGTCCAGGGTAACAGTGGGTCCTGGCATCTGCCCGCCCTCACTTCAGACTCTGGGGGCAAAGCCTGGGCGGGTAGTAACCAGGGCAGCTCAGTGAAGGAGGGGGGACAGGTGCACAGGAAATGTTTGTTTCAGACCCTGGGAGCAGGAGCAGGCACTGTGGGACACGCATGAAGGTGCCCATGTGGATCTGCACCAACGCGGGTACAAAGCCACCAGGTAGAGCTTTTAGAAGCTCTAGTGACAATTTTGTAAAAATAGATCATAGAAAGGAGGCTCATGCCTGTGACCCAGGAGTGGTTCAGTGTTAAAGGAGTCTGTTAATAGCCACATGAATGCATCAGGAAAAAAAAAACCATAGAGTACACAGGGTGAAATGGTACTTTGTACTGTTGCTGAATAGTTTACAGAGATCTGTTACTCAAAGACTTAATACTAAATGAGGAAGAGATGGGGTTTTTCCCTCATTTAACTGAAAAGCCTCAAGCCAAAGGCAGCAGTGAGGTTAATGGACAAACACTGAAAGTTCTACCATCAACATGAGGAGCTGGGGCACCCGTGGCCCACCCACCTCCCCCAGTGATTTCACATTGTCTGGAGTGTCGGCCAGTGCAGTTGGACAAGTAGATACATGAGACTGAAAATATATTTGCAGGTGATATGACTGTGTGAAAGACCCAAACAAACTAAAAAGCTATTTTCTTTATTTTGAATTTACTTTTTATTGAGTTTATTGGGGTGACATTGCTTAATAAAATTGTATAGGTTTCAGGGCCACAATTCTATAGTACATCATCTGTATATTGTAGTGTGTGTTCACCATCCCAAGCCAGAGTCTCTGTCACCATCTTAAAAAGTTACTTTGCGCCCTGGCTGGCGTAGCTCAGTGAACTGAGCACGGGCTGGGAACCAAAGTGTCCCAGGTTCGATTCCCAGCCAGGGTACATGCCTGGGTTGCAGGCCATAACCCCCAGCAACCGCACATTGATGTTTCTCTCTCTCTCTCTCTCTATCTCTATCTCCCTCCTTTCCCTCTCTAAAAATAAATAAATAAAATCTTTTAAAAAAGAAATAAATTATAAAAAAAAAAAGTTACTTTGCCCTGGCCATCATGGCTGTCGGCTGGGTGTCTTCCCACAGAGAGAAAGGTCACTGGTTTGATTCCTGGTCAGGGCACATGCCTGGGTTGCAGGCCTGGTCCCCAGCTGGGGCATGTGCAAGAGGCAACTGATCCATCTCACATCAGTGTTTCTCTTCCTCTTCCTCCCTCCCTTCCCCTTTCTAAAAAATAAATATTTTTAAATATACATAAAAAGCTATTTCAGTGAGAGAATTCAATAAACTAGCAAGGGACTTAATGAATATTTAAATTAGTTTCCCATATGCAAAACATTTGAAATACATTGAAAGATTTCATGTATAATAATAAAGTAGATACACTACCTGGTTAAACTAACTGCCTGGATACAGGAAGAGCTGCTGAAAATCAAGACGAGAGATTTGCAGGAAATAACAGGAAAGGAAATGAAAATGGTTTCTAAATTTTTTCACTCAGCAGGTTAAACAAGATCTAAAACAGAAAATGCATTTGTGGAAAATCGGGGTTGCCGAGGTTTTGGGAAAACCAGTGTTTCACTGCTGAACGGATCAGCAGCAGCACAGCCTCACCAAAGAGCAACTGAACAGTGTGTTTCCATATTTAAATGCATAGATAAGTCCCTTTGCTGGAGCAGTTCCACTTCTAGGGGGGTTATCTCATAGATAATCCTCACATGTGTGACCAAAGAAATTTGCACGTGGATATTTTTGCAGTATTGTCTGTAGTGAGGAAAATATATTTGTCATTGAAATAGGATCTCTCCAGAAGGAGACATAATTAAATGCTGCTTCTGGAGACAAGGGAGCATGAGAAATTCATTTTTTCTCTAGGCATCTTTCTATTGTTTGAATTTTCTAAACATACATCTGGTTATTTAGAGGAATTTTCTTGTAAATAGATAAGTGCAAGTTCTCCAAAACCACCGGTTTTCCAACAAATAAACTGAGGCTCAGAGAGGGCGAATCATCAGCCCCAGACAGACAGCAAGTCGGGGTCTTGGTTGGATTCGAACCTTGGTGTCAGGGATGTGAGTCCACTTCCCCCGTAGCCAGGCCCCGCCCTGCTCCTCCCCTCAGCTCCGCCCCCGCCTTGTCGAACCACCCCACCGGATGGGTCCAGCCTGCTGTTAAGGTACAACTAGGACTCGAGCTACGCTGAGTAGACCCAGGCTCGGAGCCCCGGACCCTGGGACAGGTGACCCCGGGCGCGAGCGGTCCGTGCGGCGCGTAGCCCGGGAGGGGATCCCCGGGGACCTCTCAGGGGTGGTATTCTGTGGACTTATCGAGCCTCAGCGGGCGAGGTTGCGTCTGCGCGGGGGTTAACGCGAGCCAGGCCTGAGAAGCCAGCCGGCGTCACGGTCATTTGCATAGGCCTTTCCGGGTTAGGCAGCAGAGTGCTTTAAGGACCAGTCATGTGTGTCTGTACAAAATGAGCGGGGCTGTGGAACGCGCCGTGACTGCAGAGTTGGCTGTTACCAGGTTCGCCACTCCGCGCGTCCACCCGCGGTGCCCTCCTTCAGGTACGTACTTCTTCCGTGTCCACAGGCCGCCCGCCGACCACCCCCGCCACGCGCGGGCCACGACGACGGCCCCCGCAGGATCCGCCGGTCTGCCCCGGGACGCCCGAGTGGCCCCTCCCCAAGGTCGATGCCCACCCGGGTCCCCCACCAAACCCACGGCTCCCGGGGGCACCTACAGATCCGCCCTCCTGGTCCAGGGCCCCCGGTGAGTGTGAACGGGAGGAGAGCCTAGGCAGAGGATTCATTCCCCGCAGTTTAAAAGATCCCGGCTGCTTCCCGACACCCTCATTAACTCCAAATTGATTCCTGCGGCCTCTGCAGCATCTGGTGCCTCGAGGCCTTGAAACCAGCGGTCCCCGCTCCGTGCGCCAACCGCAGCCAGGAGCTCACAGGGCAAGGCCCAAGAAGATTGTATTTGAAGATGAACTGCCCTCCCAGGCCCTCCTGGGCACCAAGAAGCCTTTTGGATCCATCCCTGAGGGGCATATGTCTAGGCCCTACCCAGTGCCTGACTATGTGCTGTAAGTGTCCCCCATGTGGTTGCTGAGGCCTGGGGACAGGAAAAGGGCACTGAGTCTGGGGCTTTGACAAGTGAATAAGAGTTGACCAATTGGTAAGAAAAAAAGGGCATTTTGAGCAGGGTGCCCAGCATGAGTTAAGAAAAACAGATTGCAGCTATTGGGGGAAAGGCAGGGGTTCCTCACACTCACACTCTGTCCTGCTCTCAACACCGCCCCCTCCCCACAGTAAGTACCCAGCAGTGACCAGTGAGAGGGAGCGGAGCTGCTACGCTGCTGTGTTTCAGGACCAGTATGCAGAGTTCTTGGAACTCCGGGAGCAGCTGGGCTCTGCACAGAAAAAGCTCCAGCAGCTGAAGGCCCTGCTGACCTCACTGCCCCTTCCCCGAAGCCAGGTCAGCAACCAGCTGGAAGCCCCTGCCCCACAGCCCTTCCAGGTGGCCATACCCTGACCTCCAGCACACCCACTGGGTCCCCATCTCCAAATTCTTCCTCCTCCAGACTAGGTGGGCACCACCACACATGAGCCAACGTCAGCCCTTAAGGTCCTCCCTAGATGGGTCACCGTGTCTCTCTAAGCCTCAGTTTCCCCATTTCTCCTTGGGTCCAGCACTCCCTGAGTCCCTCCTTTTCTTCCCTTGTAGAAGGAGGCTCAAGTAGCTGCTAATGTCTGGAGGGAATTTGAGAAGAAGCGGACGGTGAGTCATGGTCTTCTGACTCTCACAGCCTGGCCTTTGCACCCCTGACACTCCCATAAGTGCCCAGTTTCACAGAAGGAAAACTGAGGCTCAGAGAGGAAAAACCAAGGGTCAAGCAGCTTGAGGGCCATAGGCCAGACTGCCACAAGGACTTCCCTGGCTCTCACCCTACCCAGGACCCCATCTTTCTGGACAAACAGGCTCGCTGCCTCTACCTGAAGGACAAACTAAGGCACCTCAAGGCGCAGATCCAGAAATTCGACAACCGAGGAGACAGCGAGGGCTCTGTGTACTTCTGAGCTACCTGGCAGACAGACGGAGGGGACACCCTGGGGTGGGGGGTCCCACCTCACCCTCGCTTCTCTTTCTACCTCCTAGCCTTAGCTCTTGCTCTTTCGCCCGCATAGGGTAGCTTTCCCTGATTGCAAATGCCTCAGCCTTTGAGGCACTTAGCTCTGACGACCCCTACTCAAGAAATTCTTCCCAGGACCTTCTCCCAGACTCCCAACCCTAACCCCTGGAAGCAGGTGCTGCTTTCCAATCCCAGTGGAATAAACATTTCTTAAATATATTCTATGTAGAGCTACTTAACACTTGGTTGTCACTGAAAAATTGTTCTTCCATTTTCCAGAGGGAAAAAAAGTCAAGGTTCCAAGACACAGTTTTGTCCAGGGTCTCGGGGCGAGTATGAATCCTGCGCTCCCTCTCTTCCTCAAGTGGCCCTTTCTGTGGGAAGGTGAGGGGCCAAGTGTTCCCAGAGGTTCAGTAAAGGAGACAAAGGACCGCAGAGTCTTGCCAGAGTAAGCCTCCTGGAAAATTCACGTGATGCGATGCTGGGGGCCACCTGAAGGGGGCAGACGCAGGTCGCCTACAGAACGCCCTGACACCAGCCAGTTAAATGGGTCCCTGTGATTTTCCACTTCTGGGCATTGCAAGCTGAACCGTGATTGGCACCGGGCACTGTGTGGGCACAGTTCACACACCTGGCCTGGGGCTTAGGTGGGTGGGACACTGGTTGTGCCAGGCTCCCCATGGGGCCATGTGCTGGTGACCTCTTTGAGTCTTGGCCTTTCAGGGGAGCCACAAGGGACAGGGACAATCAGGGAAGCAGACTGTGGGCACAGAGGCCTCGGTCCCTGGGCCTGCCCTCACGGAGCCCCTGCTCTCAGGGAAGGTGACCCTGGGCCCAGCGTGACAGCAATAATGGGGGGTCTGACAGCAGTCTTAACAGCCAGGAAGGCTCGAGATGACTTCTTGCAGGAAGGGCCATATGGGTGAGGTTTTGTGGTTCAGCAGTCAGGCCTGGGCAGACATCAAAGCCTGCGGACTGGAAACAAAGCAGATGCAGCGGTCTTGCCCGGTCCTCAGATGTCCTGTGAATCTGAGAAATGGGGCACTGCTGTCTATTCCAACTGAGTGGACATCCACTTACCCACAGGACATTTAAGAAGATGCTGACCCAGTTCAGCCTCAATGGGTTCCCAGCAGCCAGGGCACAAGACCCTCACTCAGTTCCACAGAGAATGGCCTCACACACACACACACACACACACACACCCATCTTTCAGGCCTCTGAGATGGACATGGGGCAGGCTGGGGTGGAAATGGAGAGGGCTAAGCACTAGCTGGGTGAGATCCAAACTCTTCCCTCACTGCTTTCAAAGGGGCGTCTTTGATGGAGGGCTTGTCTCTTGCCTGATAAGGCCTCAGTCAGGGCCAAGGTGCCACCCCCACCTCCATCCAGGTTCCCCTAGAGCCACAGTCCTGGCAATAACTCCCTTAGGTGCCTTTCACACTGCAGGCTGCAAACTTAAGGCTAGGATGGCCAGTTCCCTGATGACCTCCACCATCCCATATCAACTTAAGTCCACATTTCAAAGTCTGGGAGAGGGAGAGAGAGAGAAAAAAACCAATCGGCTGCATCTCACGGGGACCTGGCCTGCAACTCAGGCTGCAATCAGGGTCATATGCAACCCAGGCATGTGCCCTGACGGGGAATCAAACCAGCGACCTCTTGGTTCATAGGCTGACACTCAATCCACTGAGCCACACCATCCAGAGCTACAAGTTCTTTAGTTACACATAGATTCAAACTGGCTTGGTCACAGAAGGGGAAGTCTGGGCTCATGGGACTAAAACAACCAAGGATTTCCAGGTATGGCTGGATCCAGGGCCTCCTGTGGCGTCCTAGGAAATTGATCCTCTTTTGGCTCTGCTTTGATTATATCCTCCTAGTTCCAAACCCTGCCATCCAACCCACTGGCCAGCTCTAGGCCACGTGCCCTCCCAGGACCGATCGCTGTGGCCAGAGGAATGGGGGACTCTGCCTGGGCTATCATGTGACAGAATTAGCCCCAGGAGTTCTTTCTGAGGACACTGGGGCCCAGATGTCATGATTAAGGGCTGATCAAAGAAAACAATGAGGTGTTTGGTCCACGGCAGGTGTGAATCTGTGAAGCTCACTCCCTGAAGTCAGAGCCTGAATCTGAACTTGAGCCATGCTCTAGGCTTAACTCCTACAGACTCACTGGCTGACCTGAACCCCCACTCCCCCAGCCTGTTTGCCCACAACACTGTCCAACAAAACCAGCAAGAGGGGATGTTGTTAGTTGGGTTTCCAGGTGGCGGGAGTAGTCCCCATAGTAGGCTGTCCCCCCCTCAAAAGATGACCGAGGCTGTGCAGGTAGGAAATACCTTTATTAATTGGCCTTAATTCATTAACCATGTAGTGTCCAACATGGATCACGTGTCCAGAGGAAGCCACCTGATGCACACGACCCCTGCCTGGCTGTGGCCGCCCCTCCCATCCAGACGCCAGGCCTCTGTCCATCACACCAGGGCAGCCAACCTCACCATCCCACAAGTTCATGCCTGAGGTGCTGAGGGACAAGACTGTCCCAGGATTGGAACCTCAGTTCCTCCCCCATCTTGGCCAGGGGGTTCTTGGGAGGACGAGGCCGGAGCCTGGACCATCAGTCACTTTTTGGTTTCATGATCATTTAAAAAACAGAAAAGACAAACATTTCACAGTCTTTAAAAAATAGGAGTCTGAGGAGAGAGGCTGGGGTCCTCTGTCTGGGGATGCCCCCTGAGGCTCAAGCAGCCATACCCCTTGAGGTCTGCAGACCAGGCCACGGAGCCCTGGGTCCTGTCCAGTCACTGGCCCGAGCCGTAGGGCCAGTTGAAGGTGCTCCCGGACAGCAGCATGTCTCGGATCAGCGTCTCGATGGGTGTCTTGCCCACCAGGCGCATGAAGAACAGCTGGGAGATGAGGGAGGCAGGGACTGCGCGCAGGGCCGGGAGCCTCAGCAGCAGGCGCCCAAAGCGCTGGGGCTGGGACGGATACTGGGCCCGAACATACTCGGTGAGGGCCACCTGTGCCTTCTCCTGCAGACTCTCCACGTGTGCTGGGTCCGAGAGGCCACAGGCATCTGGGAGGACAAGGGGAAGATCAGACGGGTAGGACATGGCAGAAGGACACAGGGTCCCAAGGAGTTACTGGACGCGCTGCTGGGGCTGAGGATGTGGAGGGAAGGGGGCACACCAGAGGCGTGGGGCCTGGGGCACAAATGGGGATATCTAAGCAGAGGTCCTCAAGAGATGGAGGCGGCCTCATCTGAGGATGGTAACAAGGGCACAGGCAGTGATACCTCAAGCAGGGAATGGGACCCCGAGGCCTTGACAGGGAGAAAAGTTCTAATCAACATCAAGAAAAACGGGGCTGGGGAGGGGACTGCGGGAGAAAGGCAAGGCCCAGAGGGGCCTGGGGCGGGAGTGAACATGACAGTGTCTAGATGGGGTCCTTTGAAGGTGGGGGCAGAGGAGCCTTCTGGGGAAAGAACGAAGGCAAGGCTGTATTTCTCACATGAAAGCCACCTCCCAGAATGGCCTGGGTCTGGTCCTCCATCCCTCGCCCCAAGAAGACACCTAGGGGGGTCTGTAACCTTCCAGAGTACAGAGGCAGCTGTGCCACCAACCCCTAGAATTAGGTAGGGCTTTAGCGGCTGGGTGATTACAAGTGGCAAGGAGGGTATTAGGACAGCCCAGCCCCTCCTCAACAGGAAGGACTTCAAAGCCACACCCCTTCTCAACCCAGTGCGGCTCTGGTGGCCTGGAGGCTGCCCTAGGGGCAGGCTGGGGGCTCTGGGTCAGAGGTCTGGGGTCACAGAAATCAGGGAGTGGGGTCCCAGAACTAGGTGCCAGAGCACCCCTGCCTGTTTCTAAGCAACCCTTCATAAATGCCAAGGGGGAAGCACCCTGATCTGGGGGGAACAAGGGGCCCAAACCAGGTGTCAGAGACCTCCCCTCCCATGCCCCCGCCCCCCCCCCCGCCCCGCCCTCTGACCGCAGTGCTGAGGACAAGGAAAACTTTGATGAGAGGATGGAGAGTGGGGGATCTCAGCCCCAGAATCAGGCAGAGGCTGTGGGGACCTGAGTTACCAATCCAGACCCAGCCTGGGGCCTAGTCACCAGAGTCACAGTTCTTAGGGAGACCTGGGGTGGGGGCACCAAGGTGACATACCTCCTGTATCACCTCCTCCCCTGCCCCCAGTTAGCACTCACAGCAGGTGCAGCGCCACAGGTCTGGCAGGCAGGGGGTCAGGGAGTGGAGGGTTCTGGGGTTACTCCCCCCACCTCCAGAGTCCCCATGTTTCCCCTTTGGAGCACATCTTACCAGGTGTGAACAGCGCGATGGCCTTGAGGCAGCCGTATTCTGCGGAGTCGACCTGCAGGCGGCCCAGCTTGTCCACCTGCTCCTGGAAGGCACGCACCTGATCCATGAAGGCCACTGCACGCTCAGCGGCCATGGGCGCGGCGTGCAGACCAGCTGCGGCCAGCAGCGGCGCCGTGTGCAGGGGCAGCGCAGCCTGTGCAGCGTTCAGCACGAACAGCTCGCTCCAGCTCAAGCGCAGCAGCGCCACCTGGTCGGCCACCGGCAGGTCAGGGAAGAAGGGCGCGTGGCGCGCCCACTCCACTGTACTGAACAGCAGCCGCGCAGCCAGCTCACACACGTTGTCGATTCCCAGCACTGCGCCCGAGGAACCACTGCCTGCGCCAAAGCGCCCGGCCGCCGCGGGGTAGGGCTCGGCGCGCAGCAGCTGCGCGATCAGCTCCGACACAGGCTGCCCCGGGAAAAGGTCCCCGCCCGCTACCGCTGCAGCCAGCACAGAACCCGGGGGGCTGCCCGAGGAGGCAGTCACAGCGCCCGGCAGTGAATGCGGGATGCGGCCACGCTGGACCGCTGTGGGGGGTGGGTAGAGATGGGCAGGAAAGAGGGGAAGGAGGGAGAGGGAAGAAGAGGAACAGCAAATGGGGGAGGAATGAAGAAAATGGGTAAGAGGAGGATGGAAGAGCATGGGGGAGGGCCATGAGAGGCCGCCGGAGGAGGGAGAAGGAGGAACGGAATAGGGGGAAAATGGATATCCAGAGAAGTGTGGGGGGCAGATAGGGAGGAACAGGGAGGGAAAGACAAAAGTCATCAAAGGGTCATTCAGCCCCTTCCCTCAAAAACCCACCACAGCCAGCCTTTCCCTGAAACCCCCAACCCCAACCCATAGGCACATAGCTTGTTGGAAGGCCAGAGCGCAGGGGCCTGCAGGCCCCTCCCTGCTCTTCTCTGTGCCTGCAGCCTGAGCCCTTGTCCAGCCAGCCCCAACCCCACCTCTAGAGAGAAGGACCATGGTAGGGAGGACCTTCCTGGGTGGGAATAGGACCACTGGGTGAGGGCAAATTTCATGCATGCCTGGCCCCCTCCCACTGGACTGCATGAGCTCCATTCAGCAGCCCGGAAGGCTTGACCTGTCAACCATGCCCCTATCTGTCAATCATGAGTCCCGGAGCTGAAAATGGGGCCAGGGAAGGGGAGCTTTCCTAGAACTTGGGGTCCCTGGCCAGCCTGTCCCTAAAGCAAGTCATCTCTCCTATGGAGATGGGATCATTACTCTAACAGCCCCCCTGCCCCCCCACCACCGCCAGATCATGGCCCCCAAGAGGATCTGTCTGTCTGGGTCCCTGCAGGAAGGAGCCCCAGTGCTGAGAATGGAGTCCTGGACAGTAGCAGGTGCTCAGTAAACATCAGCCACCCTCAGCAGCCTTGACTATGAGGAGGGAGACAACTCACTGCTTGCTTCAGCCAGTGTCCCCAGTGACCAGGTAGGTGGGAAGAGGGGCAGACTAGGCAGGGTGCCAGCAGAGACTAATTAATGAGCTTTAATGAGTTGGCAGGCCCTGTCTCGCCACCTCCATGAACTCCTGGTCAACCCACCATGGAGCAAATAGGGAAGGAGCTGTGAGTGGGAGCCAGGCACAGAAGCAGGGGCTTGGGTGGAGCCTGGCTCTCAGGGGATGGGGGACCTTCCTCTTCGCCCTTTGCTCACTCAGTTCCAAACCCCACCCCCATTATTTCTCTATCCCTGGCCATGTTCCCACCTCAGGGGCTCTGTACTTGCTGTTCCAACTTCCTGAGCATCCCCTCCCCAGTCTTCCTCCTCATTCAGCCCAGAATGCATGGGTTTGAGCCCCAACCACAACTCTATTGCTCTCATACCCTGGCAAAATGGCCTCACCACTCTACTCTGAGCTGTTTCCCCACCTGTAAGATTTAGGAGATAATAATAAAGATTATGACACCAGTCACTGAATGTCATGAGACTCTATCTGACCTGCTTAGGACAGCACTTGGCACACAGGGAGGGCAAAATGGATAGCAATTCAAGCCAAGAAACATTTACTGAGCACCTGCTGTTTTGCAGGACCTGGTTTATAGGCGCTGGGGTTATGTCAGAAAACAAGACAGAAGTCCCCGTCCTCAGAGGGTAGACATTCTGATGAGGGAGCAAAGCAAGGTGAAGGGAGCGAAATCGAGGAGGATAACGCAGGGCCATCAGGAGGGCTTCTATGAGGAGACGCTGTTTGAGCAAACCTTAAAAGAAGTGAGGGAGGAAGCCATGCAAGCGTCTGGGGGAAGAGCGTGCCAGGCAGGAGGAGCGGCCCTGAGGGAGGACTGTGCTTGGGACATGAGCTGCAATTACGATGGTATCCACCCCGAGACAGGAGATCTGATGCCCCGATTTGAAGTACATAAGGATTTTAGGTCCACTGGACAAGCGGAGGCAAATCCAGGTGGGGGGAACGGGGCAGGAGAGTCACCTCAAACTTAAAAGGACCAAAGGGAGTGACTAGTTTAAGAGACAGAGTCTGAGCAACCGTTCCTAGCTTCTTCTTAAGGCCCAGCAGAGAAGAAACCAACTTCCAACCAGAGAGACTCAACTGAAATGTAGGGAGAACTGCCAGCCTAGACCCGTGAGTCTCAGCAGAGACCTGACGCCCAGCACAGAAGCCAGCTTCTGCCCTGGTGCCCCCCGGTCCTGGTGGAAGTCTGTGAGTTCCACTTCCATTTTAAGAGTAGAGTTCTAGGCCCGGTTGCCAGCACATGTCCACCCAAGTCCCTAGGGCAGAGACAAGAGTCTGGGCCTCTCTCTGGCTCCCAGGGCCAAGGGTCAGGTAGAAGGACAGGCTGCCCTTTGACTTAATTGAGCAAATTCCTGCCTTAGGCAAACATAAGGCAGGGGTGGAGCGGGGAAGGAAAGCAAGTCAAATGAAAAAAATATGTCCTTGTTCAGAAAGTGGTGGCTAGACTAGGGGGCAGGGGTGGGGTCACTGAGGTGTCAGAGCCAGGGCACCTGCCTCTGAGGGAGGGGGGCAGGAGAATAGTCCTAACATGAGCCCAAGTCAGTGCATTCCTTGCAGCCCCAGCTCCAGCACAGCCACCAGGCAGCCACGGATAATTGGATTCCTCCAGCCCTGGGCCAGACCGAGGCCCGTAGGATCTCAGATCGGTGGTAATGATGTTAGCAGGCACCAGACCTCGAGAGTGAGAATGAAGGACAGGCCATTTGTCTACCCCGGCCCAGGGGAGACTCACCCTCCTTCCTCATGCCCACCCGGAAGCACTTCTTGAGGCGGCAGTATTGGCACTGGTTACGGTGATGCTGGTCGATCTGGCAATCACGATTGGACCTATGGCCATGCAGAGGTCACCACATGGGTCCCCATGACACCCACATCTTGCTCCCCAAGCCACCCTGCGAGTCACCTCTGAGGGCTGCACCTGGAAAACACCAGGGCCCACCCACCCCACGCTGGGCAGGTGGCCCCAAAGGGGTGCAAAGTCTAAGCCTGCAAATCTACAATGAGGAATGGACGACTGGGAATGGGTGGTGACGGATGAATAGGAGTCTGTCACAAAGGAGATTAGCATATGAGAGAGGATACATTGGAACTGGGTTTTGAAGACAGAATAGTTCCTTAGGTAAATGGAAAAACAATTACAAGCAGAGAACGCAAGGAGAGCAAAAGGTTGGAAATGTGAAAATATGGAGGTCTGAACAGTTCCATTTTATATGGTCATTGTCAAGCTAAGGGGTGAAGTCTTGGTCCCAGGGCAACATGAGAGCCAAGAAGGGACACAGTCAGGGAGCTGGGATTTCTGAGTGATTAAGAAAGTAGAGGCTAGGCCAGGCCAGGGCCAGTCTATAGGGTCAGCAGTGTGGGGTCCCCACATTATCACCCTGTACAAGACTACCATGAATGAATGAATGAATGAATAAATGAATGAACGAACGAACTCCTGTCCCCACTTTAAGACTCTACATTCACCTCCCTTCTTCTGGGAAGACCTTCCAACTCCTAACTGAGCCTAAGAAGCTTCCTCCTGGTGGCCCTCAGGGATCGTTGTTGCCTCTCCCAGGGATGGGTCAGGTGGCCCGGCCCTGTACGGCAATGAGCTCCCTGTCTAGAGTCAACCCCAAGCAGGAGGGTTCAAGTCCTTGTTCTTCAAATGTCCCTGGCACCTCTTTCCCTTGGCCCCTGCCCTCCACAACTCCCTCCACCCTGGGCTCAGGGCTCTCTGAGGCCCAGACCTGGGGCAGACACCCTTGGGCTTCCAGCTGAGCACCAAGAAGTTCACCCAGAAACAGAGTAAAACACTCAATAAAGTTAAAAATCAAACAACTCCCAGCTGGACACGCAGCCCTGACCCTCCAGAGGCAACTTCTCCACCAAGCCTCGGTTTCCTCATTTGAAAATGGGAGGCCAGAAGCCAACTGCTTATGGAATGCACTGGGGAAAAGAGGGGGTGGTGATCTGAGGGGCTCTGGGGTGGGTGTCAGGCCCCAGGTCCCAGTAGGGAGTGCCAATGGCAGCTTTAGGGGAGCTGAGACTCTGAGGAGCCTCCAAGTTCCTGGATCCTGCAAGTGGAAGCCTCTGAGCCCAGGCCTCGGCCCCTGAACAGCCCCAGCCCCCAGGAGGAGGCCCTGCGAGGGTAGAGGGAGCTCAGGCAGAACCAGAACAAAGCCCAGCGGGCAGGCAGTGGGAGGGTCCTGGGCAGCAGGCTGTGGGCAGCCGGCTGGAAACAGCCAGACCTGGGGTGGGTGGGCGGGTGGACAGACAGGGGCCCAGCTCAGGGCCCCCTGACCTCAGGGGAGGCCCAGAACCTTCTGCTTCAACCCCAGCTCTGGAGCTGGGACAGCCCTCCTGGCCCTCCAGATGGGGAAACAGAAAAGTTCTGATTATTACCCACCCTAAAAAGCACATGCCTGGCCCAACCCTGGGGCCCAACTAAGGTTCCTCCTGAGTTTCTGGCTTCCAGTTCAATTAGATCAGAGCCCTCCCTTGTTCAAATGCCCTCCATGGCTCCCTGTGGCCCTCAGTCCAACATTACAGGCCCACTCAGCTCTAACTTCTCCCATGCCTGAGTGGTCTCATCTTAGAACACTGCACCCCCAACCTGCTACTGGGCATCTGCCTGGACCAAACCCCTCATGTTTTAAGGCCCACCTCCCGTTGTCCTCCTCCAGGCAGTCCTCCCTGACCCTCAAGCAGAGCCCCTTGCTCCCTGCTAGGGCCCCAGACCTATCCCTCTCTCCGACCCAGCCCAGACCCCACAGGCTGGGAGCATCTGCATCTTAGTGTGTCCCCACCAGACTGAGAGAGGGTCGGACTTGCAGTCAGTCTCTCTGGAGGGAAAGGGGGGGGGGGGGGCGGGTATTACACTGCCCAGGATGAGCCCTGAGGGAACTTGGCTGAATCAATCTGAGGCTCAGAGAGGGGCAGTGACTCCATCTGGTGATACAGCACTAAGTTTCTGATAAACCTGCCGGCCCCTAACAATGCCTCCTCTCCCCCGCCTTGGTGCTCCTGCCCTCAGGTAGCCTCTGGGACCCCAAACCGCCTGAGCCCCTCTACTGTCCTCCCCAAAGGCCCAGCCAGAAAGCAGGCAGTTATTCCAGCAGCAAGAATGAGGCCAGTCTGGTGGCCCAGTTAGCACTGGAGGAGGGAGGAAGACAGCTCCCTCTCCCTCTCCCTATCTCTCTCTCCCTCTCTCTCTCTCTCTCTCTCTCTCTCTCTCTCTCTCTTTCACACACACACACACACACACACACACACACACACACACGGCCACCCCAGACAGGCCCTGACCCCAGACCTGGGGCCAAACCCCAGATGCCCAGGGACCCACCCAGGAGACTCACCAACAAGCACTCCTTGGGAAGGGCTCCAACCCCAACTTCACTGCCCCCCTCTTTTTTTATTTATTGATTTTGGAGAGAGGGAGAGGGAGAGAGAGAATGAAACAGAAACATCGATTTGTTGTTCCCCTAATATATACATTCATTGGTTGATTCTTGTATGTGCCCTGACCGAGGATCAAACATGCAACCTTGGCCTAACCCAACGAAGCTATAACCAGCTTAGCTACCCAGCCAGGGCCTGTCCCACCCACCTTCCCAGCCCCAAGATCCCCTTGCTAAACCCCAACTGGGGCAGGATCTCTCCCTGGGTGACCCAGAACAGACACCAGGACCTCTCTGGGCCTGTTCTGCACATACAGAAAGTGGGGCTCTCCACATTGGCTCTGCAGAGCCCGGGCATGTTCCTGGGGGACTCAGAGTAGCGGCTTGTCAATGGAGTGAAAGGATGCTCACTCAAGAGTGGTAGGAAGGGGGCCCCGGCTGGACACCCAAACCCGGTTCCAAACAGAGAAGGTAGCAAGGGCCACCCTGTGTCAATGGGGACTCCAACCCAGGGCAGCCCAGGCCTTCTTGGAAACACTCACCCCACCCGAAGTGGAGCCACCTAAGTTTCAGGGATTTTCCAGGAGCCTCAGGTCTCACCCCTCTCATGGCTGCGGGGGTGGAGCAGCAGAGGTGCAGTGAAATCCAGCCAGCCTCCCCATCTTCCCCGCCCTCCAGAGGCAGTTTCCGGTGACCCAAAGCCCAGGCTGAGCCCAGGGGGTATGCACGGTAATGGGCAGGCCCAGCCCTCCCCTACAACAAGGTCCCTCAAACGAAGGAGGCCGCCCTGTGCCACCCCTGCCTAGCTTTCGCCAACGCCTCCGTGGCCAGAGCGACTTTGGAAGTGATATTTGACCCCTAGGGCGCGCCGTATTGATCCCCGCGGCCGCAGACAATGGCCCCTGGACGCTGTAAGCTGCATAGTCCAAGTTCCACGTTCGATTCCCTCGAGGCGCCGTATGACGATGTTCCCAAAAAAAGGGGTGCCCCAAGGTTAGGGTCCTAGCCCTGTCAGCACCCCACTCTTTCTCCACGCAGAGATGACCCCTCTCTGGAGAAAAGCGAGAGAGTAGGAGCGAGGAACCGGGGCGGAAGGCTCAAAGGGACCACCTGACGGGGGAACTGCATCCATACAGCGCCGACTGTATACACAATCCCAGGAATGGAATGGAGGGGGGAACAGGGAGCTGTGCCCATATCTCAGAGGGGGAGTGGAGGACCAAGAAGGTCAGCGCTAGGCCCAAGGTGACCGAGCAGGTCAGGGCCCGGGCCAGGCCGGGCCCGGTGCAAGCTGCGGGGCGCGGATGGGAGGGCTCACCGGCAGGTGTAGCTGAGGTTACGGCGGATGCTCCGCTTGAAGAAGCTCTTGCAGCCCTCGCAGGTGAAGACGCCGTAGTGTTTGCCGCTCGACTTGTCCCCGCACACCACGCAGTCCACCTGCAGCCCCGGCCGCTCTTCGTCGCCCGGCTCCGCGTCGCTGGCGGCGCCGGGGGGTGAGGCCGAGTCTTCCTCGGCCGCGCGCGGGTAACCTCCTGCCTTGTCCACACCGTTCGTGTCCCCGCCGCCTCCGGGGCCGCCCCAGCCGCCGGTCACCATGGCCATAGCCCCAGGGCAGCGGGGCCGGGGTGCCCCCTCTGCGCACCTCCCGCCGGGCACCCCTATCGGCCCGGGGGACTCTACCCGGTGCGCATCCGAACCTGGCGCGCGGGGGACACCGGCTACACCCCCCAAAAAAGTTTTGCAGCAACTTCCTGCGACCGGTCCGCGCGCCCAGGCGGAACTGGTCGGGCCGGTTCCAAGCCAACTTTCCCACGCGTGCGCGGGGCCGGGCCCGGGGTCGGGGGGGCGCGCTAGAGGCGCGGGTCGGGGGCCCCGGGGACTCGCGCCCTGCCGCCCTGGGGCCCCGGCGGGGGCGCACGGGCCATGGCCCGGCCCGGGCTGCGCACGGGGCGCCCTCTGGCCTGGCCGCCGCTTGGCCGGGTGCTACGGCCAACTTAGCGGGCCGCCATTCGGGTGCGGGAGGCCGGGGTGAAAGTTTAGCCGCAAGTTGTGCGGCTGCCCGCGGCGAGGGGGAGGGGCAGCGGGCGCGCCGCCGGGGCCAGTCGCCGCGCCCCCTGGGTCCCCGAAGCCCCCCGGCGGCCGTTCGGGGCCTGCAGGGCCGCTGGCCTGGGCTTCCCGAGCTGCCGTCCCCGCTGCGGCCGCGCACGCCAGGCCTGGGCCTGAGCCTGGGCCCGAGCCTCGCTCTCGCTGCCGCCGCCGCCGCCGCTGCCGACCCCGTGCGCCGGCCTCGCGCTGCGGCCGGTTTGACACACAACGTTCCATTCGCGGGGCGGGAGGGGGGCGGGGGCGGGGGCAGGGGCGCGCGCCGCGGACTGGGGGCGGGCGCTCGTTGCCCCGGCGACAGCCGCCCTTATAAGGGCATGGGTGGCCGTATGCTGCGCCCGGCGCCTGGGCCGGAGGGAGGGGCGAGGGCGGGTCGCGGGACCGTTTGGCCTGACCCTCCCCCTCCTCATCCCCGCCCCCGTCCTCTTCTGCTCCATTCTTAACCCCTGCTGGGCCGCGGCGGGAACCGGGGCGGCAGCTGCCCTCTGCCCTTCTGCACTCTCCAAGATGCCTCTTCAGGGCCCTCCCCTCCACCTCCTTGCTTGGACGTAGCGTCGCTCCACCTCCCTCAAGACGCCACTTGGAGCACCCCATTCCCGGCAGAAGCAATAATGGGGGGTCCAGTTGCATCCTTGGGGCTTGCCCATGTGCAATACACACGCGCACGCACGCCCGCACACCCTAGGGCATTGCACAGTTGCAAGATGGATTGTGTTTGCTTCCTCTTCCAGTAAGTCGCCGCGTCCGACCCCCCACCCACCCGGCCTCTGCTTGGGCAAACACCTGGTGCTCGAAATGTCTAGGGGGAAGGGATTTGGTGGTCGGCGGCTGGCGGGGGCTGAAGATCAGGGGGTCCCTTGCCAGAAATTCAAGACTCTGGAAGCAGGTCGCCCACCCTCCGGGCGAGATTGGAGGCGACAGGAATGCCCACCACCCGTGCAGGGGCCTGCCCCTTCCCCTTTTCCCCTTCAATTCCCTTTTTTTTCCCTATGCTTTATAGAAAGGGCTTGGCCAGGCGGCCGGCTGGACTGCAGATGTCTCTTCCAGGCTCCCGGAGCTTTCCCAGCTACCTCCAGCCTGCAAAGCCTCCCCACCCCCGCAACCCCACCCAGACCCTGGGCTGGGGCCAACCAGCATATATTAAGCGCCTTTTGAATGCTCCAGGCCGCATTGGCGAGAGTAGCGAGAGCCCCTGGCTTAGGGCTTGTTAACGTTTAACCGGCTGGAAAAACCCTTCCTTTCACCTTTCACCTTGTAGTCCTGCAAATCCTGTTGCCCAGCCTTATCTTCTGCCCTGCCCTGCACTGCCCTGCCCTGCCCAGGCCAGAGCCAGACACAAGGCCACGGGGCTGGGCCTCTGAAGGCTGTAGGGGCTGGAGAGCTGTGCCCTCTGCCCTTAAGGCTCCAATGCCCTCCTTTCTCAGTAAGGGGCCTTAGAAAAAGGCACCCCATCTCCAGATGATATCTGAAGAAGAACCCTGGGCTTGGGGTGGAATGCTGAGAAATTATGCAATGTTTAACAGGAAACCAAGGTCCTGGAAAAGCCAGCACAGCACCCCACAGCTCTAGGACTCTGGGCCTCCCAGGGAGGGTCTGGCTGAATGGAAGGTGGGGAAGGTTTTATCAGGTACAGAGAGCAAAAAGGACTAGGATTAGACATGAGCAAAGACTTCCATGTGTCTGACTAGAGTGGACTTCTGCCCTGTAAGCCTTGCTGGGGGAAGGGCACCAGGGCAGTTGGACAGGATCCTTTGGTTCTGGGGCTGCCTGGGAATGTAGGGACGCTGGCTGGTTACTTGGGGTGAGGACAAGGGCCCTAGGTCCATTGCCTGTATCTTCCAGGATCCTTGGTGGGCGAAGGGGGGCTCTCAGAAAGGGAGAGAAGGTTCTGGAAGGAAGCCAGAGTGGGGCTGGGCACTGAGGTTTGAGAGACGCACAGTCTGGGGCAGGGAGGCAGTGTTGGAGATTAGGGTAAGTCTACTGCATATCCTAGACCCTTGAGTAGGTCCAACTCCTGGAAGCAGCCCTGCCCCACTCCCAGTAGCTCGGCTGACCCTGCACCTCCTGGAGCCCCACCTGCGCCTGTGAGAGGGATGGGAGTAGAAGTCCAGATCCAACCCCTGACCCCTGCCCGTAGCCCGAGGTGACATTTGACCTTGAGGCGGCTGAGGACTGGGGACAAAGAGGCCTGGGCCCATCTGCTGAGGGGGCACCCGTAGGAACTGCTAGACCCTGCTCTGGGAAGCCTGGGAACCAGACCCTGCCCCCTCCTCCAGCTTGAACTCCTTGCCCACCCTCCAACAGGTGATCTTGTCTCCTTTTTCCCCTTCTTCCCATTGGCAACCTGGTGGGACTGGGGCCTAAGGTCATTCTTAGACTCTTGGGAGGAGGGGAGAGGGGCAAGAGAGGAAAGGTTGGCTCCTCTGCCACATTGCCTGCCTCAGTTTCCCTGCTAGCTTCCAAGCTTGCCTCAGTCCAGAGAGAGTGCTCAGGGTCCAAAAGTCACCAGCCACAGCACTCTCCTGAGGCACCTGTGAGTCAGGAGGACCCAATTGAGGCCAGGTTCCTGATTGATGCTGACCTCAGGCTGGTCTGGCCCTTCCCAGCCAGGAGCAGCCACCCCACACACACCTGCACAGGTTCAGCCTAGGAAACGCCCCACTGCCAGACTGGGAAGAAAACCCTGCTAATCCTCAGTTTGGATTTCAGCTACCACCTAGGAGGGGACTGCTGCCCACTAATCCTGGCCGCCTGGGTCTCTTTTGAGACTCCACAGGGGGGTGTCAGGAGTGTGGCCTATGCAAATACATGCTAATCAGATGCCTGTTATTAATCTGACACTAAAACCTCCCTAGCCTGATGCTGAAAGGCAGAACTTAGCCCTGCCAGAGGCCATCCAGGACCTCTAGGGCCCAGTGGGCCTCATGCTCACCATCAGCACACACACTGAGTTCCCCAGTGCCTGCAGTCTAGGCCCCGGAGCTTCTGCTGGCAGGTGTTTAAGCCCTTTACCTTAGCTCCACATGCTTCCCATGCAAGTGCGAAAGCCACCTCTGATCACTCCTCCCAGGACCTGCACCCGGACCACCATGCCTTTCCAGCAAAAATTCCACCCTAAACCCCAGGGACCTCAGTCTTCAGGGATCGCGGCATCTTCCTCTGGGGAACATCTGCCAGGCCAAACCCAGCATATCGAAAAGGGGTGGGCAGGGAAAGGTGTGCCCTGCCTGCCCTCACCCCCCAACCATGGACCCCTCCCTGGGCTTCTGGAGACAGGTAAGAACTGGAATTTCAGCTCCAGCTATGTAACCTCATTGACCCACGAATCCCCCCCAGCCAGCCCTGGACACCCTGCCCCCACAGCCCAGGTCACTTCTGGCATGACCCTGCTGACCCTATTCACATGCCACGTGGTACCAGACAAAAGACACCAAATCTTTCTCAAATGGCACCAACAATCCATCAGGCCCCAGGCGCCAAGGTATATATTAGTTCCATCACACCAATCCAAACATGCCTCAACGTGCACAGTAGCACCACATGACATAGCTCCAGGACAGTTGATGACATGGCCTACCACCACTGGTACATTTAGACACAGCCAGGCACAGGGCCTACAGAAAGGTCTCCCCTGGCCGGGGGGGTGGGCGGGGTGGCCTGGGCCTCCCCAGAACTCTTATGGTGGCTTCTAGCACAGCCAGCTCTTCTGTCTGTCTGGCCTGCATTAGTGCCACTTGCTGCTCCAGCTTCCGCCGTTGCTCTTCCTGCTTCCGCTGGGCTCCTCTAAAGGCCAGGACCAGGGCTCTAGAGGGGTGAGAGGGCTGAGCCAGGAAGTAGCCCCCCCACCCCACCCAAGACAGGGGCTGTGTACTCCCTGACTGGGTCTTCTTGGGATCCCAGTGTCACTCAGCAGGGGCTGACACACATCAGGCACCAGAGGAAATGTGGGATGGATTGAACTTGCAGCCCACCTCATAGGAGGGAAGCTGAAGCTCAGAGGGAGCCAAGAATATTACTGAGGTTACCAGGGGAGAGGGACCCACCTGTGAGCCTTACATAAGTCACTGTTCAGCTTGGCACTCTGAGCACGTCTGGCTCGCCCCTTCTGAGCCACCTGTTCCAGCTCCTCCCGCAGAAACTGCAGCTGCTGCCACAGGCCCAGGGCCCTGGTGCAGGATGGGGGGAGAAGGGCTCAGAGCCACAGCCAATCCTGTCTTCCCTCTACCCACCCCCCTGCTCTCGCTGTTTCTCAGGGAACACATCTATACACAGGTACACACTTGGCCAGCCGCTGCTGCACACACTCCCCACACAGGCTCTCACATTTGCACTGCCACAACCCTCAGGCTGAATATCCTCCAACCCAGGACCCAGGCACTCACCGGGTGAGTGAGGCCGACAGCTCTTGAGCTAGCTCCTCCGGATCCTGCACTTTGCCCACCTGGCCTCCATCAGTGCCCCTGCTGCCACCAGGGAGAGCAGAGCCCTAGAGGAAGGGAGGTGACATTGGCCTAGTGTGCTCAGCTCAAAATGGATGTCGATGTCCAGACTGTGGCAGCCAAAGTCCTTGCCCTTGCGGAGCCCACAGTCTCATGAGATACCCCAATGAGGATAAAATTATTCCCTAACAAGGGAATAAATAACAAGTGACCTCATCCAAAGGCAATTTGGGAGGGCTTCCTGAAGGAGGTGAAGTCTGAGCTCAGACCTGTGGGAAATCCAGGACTTAACTAGACCAAGAAGGAAGCGTCCCGCGTTCCTAGCTGGGGCACAGCAGTTACAAAGACTTGAACGTGGGAGACATGATTCAAAGGATTCTGTAAACCACTAAAGGCTTTAAGCAGAAGGCAGACAGGATTAGACAGCATGGGGCAAAGAGGAAGGACTCTGAGGAAGCTTGAACCAAAATTCAGGAAGAGGTGAAGCATGGGCTGGGGCTACTGGGGTGAAGTGGGAGGAGTATGCACAGGCCTGGGGGATGGGAAGGAGGAGGTTCCAGTTTGAGTGGAAGCCACTAAATCTTTTGGGGTTTATTGGGCTCAATATCCTCAAAGAAAGAAATCCAAAATTACAAAGTGTGAATTTTAACCTACAGCTTACCATTCAACTCATTTCTTTGAGAAGAAATGGAAACTGAATCTTGGCCAGAGACACCTGGCCAGTAGTATACTGCTATCCCTACGCAGTCCAGGCATCCTCACCTGGGACCACGCCTCCTCATCTCCGCTGCTCCCGCCACTACTGTCACCACCACTGCTGTTGGCCCCGCAAGTCTGGAGCTGTGCCCGCTCCCACTGCAGCTGCTCTAGCAGGAGCACGTGGACTGGGCCCTGGGCTCTGAGGGCAGCCTCCTGCAGCTCCAGACCCCGCTTCTCCCGCCGCACCAGCTGTAGCCTCAGCATCAGGTCCTCCAGTGTCTCCTGAGAAACCAAGGAGAGGGCAAAGAATTTGTGCCTTCAGGGTAAACGTCTGGGAAACTGAGGCCTCAGGAGGCACCAACTGAGGACTGGTCAAGCAAGAACTCCAACCCTCACCGTGATCTTCTGTGGTGAGGAACATCACCCTCCCATAAAAAACTACAGCTGTGGATATGGCAGTTCAGAGAGGGCAGGTATTTCTGCCAAGGTCAAGTAGCAACTCAGTGGAAGGGTCTGGAGTTTCTCCAAGTCCAGAACCTTAGGTCCTACAAAGCTTGGATTGTGTCCCCTGCCCTATTTCTTTTCCACAGGAAGGGCATTTTGGAAAGTCCCACTCAAAGTCTTATGAGAAACAGAATTCCAAAGGACAAGCTCCTATTCATCCCTGAAAACCCTAGCCCCAATTCTCCTCCCTCCAGGAAGTTTACCCCTAGACCAGCAGAGCTTTCCCTTGCTGCCTGGTCACCCAATCACACCCCTCTCAACTCCACCAAACGGTTTTGTCCCACCAGGAAGGACTAGCCAAGACTACTGCTCATGTGTACCCGCGTGGTCTCCAGGTCCTGCTGGATCTGCATCTTCTCTAGCTGGGGCAGGGCTGGGCTGGGTTGAGTCCCCACAATGGCCTGCACCAGGGCTTCTGCATGGGGTACAGTGGGCATGGGTGCCAAGGTGGAGCTTGGCTTTGGGGGAATCTTCACCAGAGCACGACGCTCCTGGAGACGCTGGACACAGCCTTGGAGCTGGGTGGCCACCTCCTGTGGTGTGGGCTTGTCCACACTGCTGCCCTTGGGGCTACAGAAAATGGAAGAGAGTCCTGCGTCAACCCCGGCAGACATGGCTGTGCTACCTTCATGCCCACCGTGGTGGGCTCTGTCATCTCCCATCGTACTCTCCATGATGGATCCTGTGACATCTGTGGTGGGTGCTGTCCTACCAGCATTGTGGGCACCATAATGTAACCCCCAATGGGCACAATTATCCATCAAGACAACATAGCACCATCACACCAATGGCACTGTTCCTCATGCCCACAAGGTGAACACCATCACACCAACACAATGGGTGTCATCTCTCAGCCAACCAGCCTGTTCAGCAGCATTGTGCCAACCTTATTAAGCACTGTAATGCCAGTTATAATCAATGGGCACCATCATCTATCTCTTGCCAACCCTGATGGGTCTTATACCAACCCCAATGGCTGTCAACAACCATAACAAATCTGTTAAGTAGCAACCAGCCAACTCCAGTCATGTCTCCACAGGGTCAACTCCCCACTCTCCAGCCAGGACCCCATTTGCGGGCCCGCCCAGCTCCAGGGTTTCTCTGGGGGGTACCTTGGCTGAGAGTCCCACTGTGTCCCTCCATCTGTGGCAGCCTCCTCTTGGGCTAGCAGCCTCTGAGCCTCCTTCTCAGCCTCCTCCAGGTCACTCTTGGGGACTTCTGCTCCTGAGTCTGCCTCCCGGAGAGCGAGCAGGACCTCGAACACTTCCTCACAGCGCTCACTGTGGGACAGGGGTTCTGAGCGCTCCAGAGCACGCAGCCCCACCTTTCTGTCTAGGCACCATTTCAACTGGCTCCTGATTCCCTCACTTCTCCCCTGCCCCCTCCCTCGGAGGACATGCAGACCCCTTCAGCGTCCTGGACTAAAATCATCTTAAATTCATTTCCATGGTGAAAATGCTTTCCTGCAGGGACCCTGCCTCTATTTGTGGATCAGGGCCATCCTCTGAGCACACTCATTCTCTTCCCAGCCGGTGACATTGTGGGCGGGTTGCACCAACCTGTACTGCAAGGCCAGGCGTAGTGCTGTGGCCTCGGCCTCCCATCGGTCCAGCTGCATGCTGAGGCCCTCACACTGGCCCTTGTACCCCTGTAGCACAGCCGACAGCAGACGGTTAAAGCATTTGAGCTTCTCAATGCTCCTGCCTCCAAAGGTGGGGAAAAGCAACAGTGAGAGGCCTCACAGAGCAGTTGCCTGACAGATTTCCACTCTTCTCCCCTTCCCTCATGCCCACTTCAGCTACAGACTCGGGTTTACGTCCTAGCTGAGGGGGTTTCAGTGCTCTGATGGGCTCAGCATTTGCGTACCCCCGGAGCTGCTCCATCTGAGCTTCCACCACGTGCATCTCAGGGGCAAGGGGCTGGTTGGGGAGAGCCCCAAGGATCTGGGCACTGGAATCACTCTGGAGGCGCCGGAGCAGAGGGTGAGCCAGGGAGAAGGGATCCTGCCAGCAAAAGGGAACTTAATTCACCCAGATTGTCATCAAGAGCCCAGTACCACAGGTTTAGGCTTTTCCAGCCCCAGAAACTGTTGGATCACATGGCCAAGATTTGGGTCTCACTGCCCTGAACCCTAAGGATCTCAGATTAGTAGTTTGGAGCTTCCCACACTCACCTGAGTGGCCCAGGGCTCCCCAGCAGCTTCAGAGCGCCTTGAAGCACTGCCCGGGCCACCAACTTGGATGTGAGAGGGAGGTGGAAAGGACTCCAGCCTCAGCAGGGAATCCTGCAGCTCCTGGACCTGGGAGGTATGAGGCATGTCAGGCCTGGGAGCTCCGAATACCCAGCAGACCTCCCCAACACCTGCTCTCGGAGCAGTGGCAAATGCCCCTGCCAGAAGGCAGGATTCCCAAATACGCACCTCACCAAATCAGCAACTCAAGACTTCTCTCTCTTTTTTTTAAAGATTGTATTTATTTATTTTTAGAGAGTAGGGGGGAGGGAGGGAGAGAGAATCATCGATATGTGAGAGATACATTTATCAGTTGCCTTTCCTATGCTCCCAACTAGGGACCTGGCCCACAACGCAGGCATGTGTCCTGACTAGGAATCGAACCAGCAACCTTTCAGTTTGCAGGCTGACACTCGATCCATGGAGCCACACCAGTCAGGGCTCTTTCTTTAGATACACAGATGGCCAACAGGTACATGAACAGGTGCCCAGCATCAGAGAAATGCACATCAAATCCACAACGAGATGTCCCCCCACACCTGTTAGGATGTCTGCTCTCAGACAGACAAGCTAAGCAATAACATGTGTCAGTGAGGATGTGGAGAAAAGTGAGCCCTCATGCACTGCTGGGATCCTCAATAGTATGGAGGTTCCTCAAAAAATTAAGAATCGAACTACCATAGGATAGATAGAATTGATGGAACCAGCAATTCTAGTTCCATCATTTCCACTCCTGGGTATTTACCCAAAGGAAAAAAATACCACTAATTCAAAAAGATATATGCACCCTAATTTCATTGCAGCATTATTTATAATAGGCAAGACATGGAGGCAAACTCTGTGTCCATCAATAGGTGAATGGATTAAGAATATATGGTACATGTGTGTAATGAAGTATATCTCAGTCTTAAAAAGGAACGAAATCCCGCCACTTGCAACAGCGTGGGTGGACCTTACGCTAAGTGAGATGCACCAGACAAAGACAACTACAGTATGAGCTTACTTATGCGAATGAGTATGTGGAGTCTAAAAACAAAACAGAAGACTGAACTCATGGATACAGAGAACAGATTGGAGGTTGTAGAGGTGGGGGATGGAGGTGAAATTAAAAATAAACAGATAAGCCCTTGCTGGTGTGACTCAGTGGGTCGGGCACTGGCCTGAAAACCAAAAGGTTACCAGCTAACGCCTGGTGGGGCATGTGCCCGAGTTGCGGGCAAGGTCCCTCGTTGGGGGCATGCAAGAGGCAACCTGTCAATGTTTCCTTGCACATGGATGTTTCTCTCCCTTGTTCCCCCTCCCTTCCCTTCTCTCTGAAAAATAAATACATTCTTAACAAAGTAAATAAACAGGTAAACTTCTCTCTCCCAGCTGAGAAATGGGTCCCACTCTGTAGGAAAATGGACCCTGTGGCTTGTTCTGGACCCCGCAGCCCTGGTCTTGCCACCTGTAGATGAGCCTGCACCCCGAGTCAGTCACGTGACTTCAATCCACACGCCCAGGAAGCCTCTAGCCTTTACGCCCACACCTGCCAGCTCCACCTTCAACATCACCCAAATTTGCCCACTTCTTGCCACCCACACAGCTTCCACCCCCTGGTGTCTGGACCAGCCCCTCCTCCCGAATCTCCAGGATTCCACTCTCACCCCCACACACTGTTCCTCCTACTGCTGCCGAGGGGGCACCCATGAACACCTGTGTCAGCTGCCCACTCTCCCCAGCTCAGAACCTACCATGGCTCCTATTTCACTCCCAGCAAAAGCTCAAGTCCTTCCTACAGCACCCCCTCCCAGGGCTCTGCAGGGACTGCCCTGTCACCCCTGTATACACCCCCATGCTGGCCTCCTCAAGGTTCTTCAAACCTGCCAATCACACCCCCACCTCAGGGCCTTAGTGTATGCCATCTCCTCGGCTTGGAATGGTCTTCCACCAAATCTTTGTATGGCTCTTCCCTCACCTCCATGTGGCCCTTATTCAAGTGTCACCTCCTCCACGGGCCTCCCTGATCACGTTAATTAAGACTGCAAGAGCCCTGTGTCTTTTGGGGCTCAGCAGTCAATGCTGCACAAAAGTTTTTCAGATGAACAAGTGACTGAATATCGCCTGGGCCAGGCTGCCTGCTCCCTCAGACAGCAATCCCTGGGAGGCGGGGATGCCCCACTCACCTCTCTCTGCAGTGTCTCCTTCTCTGCCTGGACGGCCTCGAGGGAGGCCTGCAAGTGGGTTAACTCGTTCTCACGGCTGCCCAGGGCCAAACGCAGCCAGGCGTTCCTCTCTGCCAGGTGGGCTGCCTCCCACTGGAAGCCCCCTGCCCCCTTCTGCTCCAGGAAGAGCCTTGGTTCCCCCTCGATTCTGCCCTCCACCTCCATTGGTCCTGGACAGCTGCTCAGGGGCTGGCAGCGCCAGGCAGCAGCCGCAGCCTCCAGTGAGCTCAGAACGTGCTGGAGAGTCTGAAACACATCAGGAGCCCCAGGTCCAGAGGGGACAGTCTCCTGTTCCCGTGAGGCTGCTGCTGGAGCCTGGTGGGCTTCTCCTGCAGGTTCATGGGGCCCCTCGAGGGCTGGGGCAGGTCCCCTGCTAGAGTCCTCATCAGCCTCTTTGTCAGTTCTGTGAAGAAGTAAGCAATGGAAGGTTCTGGAAATGGGGACACCTGAGGTGGCTGGCACACAGGGGCCGTGTGTCAAGGCTGGGGCTGCATCATGCAGGGCTTTAAAAATCAGGCTGAGGCAGGCATGAGGAGCTGTGGCGTGTATGTGAGCAGGGGTGGTGGTGGGTGACACAGGCCGAGCTATGCGTGGGAAAGCTGGAGTAGGGGGCATAGACCAAGAGGGCCTTACCTGCTACCCAGGTTGTGCCCACTCTCTTCTGCCTCAGGACCCAGCAGCTCAGGCTTGCAGCTTTCCTGGGATGGCACAGGGCCCAGCTCAGAGCTTCCGCTGGCCGCCTCAGCCTCCTCTGAGCTCTCTGCCACAGGGTCCAGCTCGCCCTGCACATGACCACCAGGGCCGAGCTCTGAGCAAAGCTCTGAGCCCTGGGGTCCTGCTGAGCTGGTGGTGGCAGGGAAGGGGGACACTTACAGGCGAAGCGTGCCTCCCTCGCCGGCTCCGAGGCCGTGTGGCCCGCCCACTCATTGCTGTCCAGAAATCAGTGTGCCCTGAATCCCTCCTTTGTCCCCTCTAAAACCACAGCCTGATCTCAGCTCTTGCCTTTGTTGTCCTGGCAAATGATAGACTCAGTTTCCTCTTCTGTGAAGTTGGCATTGATTTCCCCTCCTCCAGAAGGGGTCTTGAGTCATCAGTGTTGATTTGGCACAGTTAAATCCCTCCGTTGACAGACAGCTCACTACCTGTCAAGGTGACCCTGACCTTCCTCTTCTGCCTCCTTTATCTGTCACTGCCTTGGTGCTCCCCACCCTCCCCTATCTGGGCCTAGGATGAAGACTTCAGGAGTCCTCTCTCCTTCCCAGTGCCCTCCTTAACGAAAGGACCCGTTACTGGGGTTGGGTCCCCTCAGCCCACTCTACTTCTCTGTTCCTCCGGGAGCACCTTGGTCAGAGGCCTGAGTCCCTGGATACGCTTGGGGTCACTTGCACCACTGCCCGCTCAGGCCTGGGCTGGCCCAGGCTGGCCTGGGAGGGGCCAGGAAACAGGAAGCCCCCTCCCCTGGTCACATGACTTGCTATTGTGCAGTTTCCTTCTCAAGGACAGCGCTTTCCTCCAGTTCCAGCAGGCAACATGTGTCTAGCTCCTGAGATGTCCGTCCTTCCTCATCTCAGCCTCTGAGGTGATGGCCCTTCCACCCCTGAGCCTCAATATCCTTATCTGTGAAATGGGGGATAAATATAGCATTTACCTATGGTGCCATGGAGTTTTAACAAGCATTTGCACATGGCCAGGCCCCATCGAGGAAATGAATCAGAGTCACAACTGGCACTCTTCGTTCTCTATTACCTCACCTTGTTCTCCACTGCCAGCGCCATCTCTGCTTCCTCTGCCAGCTGCTGTTTCTCCTACATAAATGCTGAATTCCTCAGAGCCTACATGGTCCTCACATTCTGCCCATTATTCCTGCACCCTCCTCTAATGGACTTCCTTGTCTTCACCCATAGTCACAGTCCAACCCTCTCTTGGCCCACCAGCACCCCCTCTGGGCTTCTCAGCATCCCCATTCCTGCCCACTCTCTTCCCCACCCAGGCCCCAAAGACAGATCATATTTTTCACTTTCCTTATTCACATACCTTCCATGGCTCCCCATTGCCCTTGGGAAAGATTTCAAGCTCTTCTTCTTCTTTTTTTTTTAATTGATCTGAGAGAGAGACACATCAATTTTCTCTTCCACTTATTTATTCTTTCATTGGTTAATACTTGTATATGCCCTGACCAGGGCTTGAACCTGCAACCTTGGCACATTGGGATGACGCTCTAAACAACTGAGCTACCTGGCCAGGGAACATTTCAAACTCTTCAACTTGGCCAAAGCCCTTAAAAATTGTATCTGAAACTTGCACCCATATGTACTCCATGCTACAGCCATGATGGCCCCCTCCATGAAGAGCTGGCGATTCTCAGTTCTCTCACACCCCTCACGGCAGTGCTGTGACCTCTGCTCCAAACACCCTGTCCTGCCTACTGCACTTGGGCTAACTGTGCAGACACAACAGTAGCCTGGGTCTTCCCGGCCCAACTGACAGACCCTAGGAGTATGAATCCTTCTGCTTATGGAGGGAGAGAAATTGTACATCTCTGGCTTGGGGGTATCTAAAGGCATCAAATCCTCACGCTTAAGCCTTGCTCCAAGCATATTAAACTGGGAGAGGCTCCGCCACTCCAAGGCTCTTCCAAGCCTGCAGACCTTTGTCTGGGCAGTTTCTTCTGCCTGGAATGCTTTCTCCCTCTTGTTTTCCCAGCATATTCTCTATCCTTCAAGGCTCAGCCTACAAAGTTGCCCTGGCTGTCATTAAACTAGAGCCTGGCTAATGTGGGTGGGCTTAACTGACTCTTAAAAATGAAGAAACTGAGGCTTAGAATGTTTTTTTCCCCATTATACTTTGTTTTAAGGAATCTCAAAATTCTGTGACAGGTTTTTGGCCAAGTCGTTTCCATTAAAAAGTAGTGATTTTAAAAACTAGTAACTTAAAAATTGCCACACAAAAGGACATCTATGATCCACAAAACATTTTCCTTTCCTTCTGAAGGTTTTATGATGCATTGCAACCATTAACTAGTCTTTATTATTAAACTTAAACCACCACTTGAGACAAAGAGTTCTGGCACCATCCCTTCACTAGTGATAAAGACGGGGGTGGGAGGCATTGGGGGCAATATTCATTTAGCCTTCTGAGCTTCCTGGAAAGATCTGGTGACTTTGCCAGATGTGGCTGCCTTTTTGTCCACTGCTTCAATGACTCTCACGAGAGCAACTGTCTCCTGTCACAAACAGCAAAGCGGCTCAGACAAGGTCAGGCAGAGAGCTCTGTACACACACGGCTCGCCAGGACCCATACCAATGATGGCAGCATCACAGATTTCAAAAACTTTAGGCCACCTTCCAGCTTTTTCCCAGAGCAACGATTAAATTCCTTCAGCTCATCAAATTTCCAAGCAATGTGGCCTGTGTGACAATCCAGTACAGGTGCATATCCAGCGCTGATTTGGCCGGATGGTTCAGGATGATCATCGGAGCTGTGAAGCCAGCTGCTTCTACTGGTGGGTCATTTTTGCAGTTACCAGCCACAATACCACGATGAACATCTTTGACAGACATGTTCTTGACACTGAAGCCCACAGTGTCCCCGGGGAGAGGTTCACCCAATGCTTCGTGGTGCATTTCAACAGCCTTTACTTCAGTTGTAATGTTGACTGGAGCAAAGGTGATCACCAGGCGGGGTTTGAGAACACTAGTCTCTACTTGACCCATAGGGACAGCACCAATTTTGTAGACATCTTGGAGGGGCAGATGCAAGGGCTTGTCAGCAGGACAAGCTGGTGGCAGGATGCACTCCAGAGCTTCAAGCATGACTCCACCAGCACTGCCATCTCTACAGGTGACTTTCCATCCTTGAACCAAGGCATGTCAGTGCTTGGCTGCAGCATGTTGCCACCATTCCAACCAGAAATTGGCACAAATGCTATGGTATCAGGGTTGTAGCCCATTTTCTTAATGTAGGTGCTGACTTCATTTACCATTGCCTCATATCTCTTCTGGCTGTAGGACGGCTCAGTGGAATCAACAGTCAGCTGTTTCACACCCAGTGTGAAACCAGAAGGGCATCCTCATGGGTTTGTCCACTGTGGAGACACCTACTTCAAACTCACCAACACCAACAGCAACGATCAGGACAGCACAGTCAGCCCAGATGTGCCTGTCATCATGTTTTTTATAAAGTCTCTGTCCTGGGGCATCAATGATGGTCACATAATGCTCGCTGGTCTCAAATTTCCAGAGAGGTATCAATGGTGATACCATGCTCATGTTTGGCTTTCAGTTTATGCAAGACCCAGGCATACTTAAAGGAGCTTTTCCCCATATCAGTAGCCTCCTCAAATTGTTGGGTGTTTCACTTGTCGATCCCACTGCATTTGTAGATCAGGTGACCTGTAGTAGTAGACTTGTCGGGATCTAATGACGTCGATGTTCAACATGAGTCTTCCTTTTCCATTTTGGCTTAGATTTAGCAGTGTTTTTCATGACGCCTGTGTTCTGTGGCAAATCCTTTGGAAAAAAAAGAATAGTTTTGACATTTTTATGGGGCTAAGGGGGAAGTGTGCATGAAAAAGGTAGGGTGGTTTGAAATAGTTCTGGCTTAGTATGTTTTTAAAAATTTTATTTAATTTATTGGAGTGACATTGGTTAATAAAATTATATAGGTTTCAGGTGTACAATTCTATGATACATCATCTGTATATTATATGGTGTGTCCACCACCTCAAGTCAAGTCTTTTGGCTTAGTGTTCTTTTTAAAGATTTTATTTATCTACTTTTAGAGAGTGGGGAAGGGAGGAAGAAAGAGACAGAGAGAAACATCCATGTGAGAGAGAAACATCAATCAGCTGCCCCTCATTCATGCCTGATGAAGGTTTGAGAAGGATGTCCCCATCTCAAATAACCCAGAGACCTGCAGCCAGAAGTGAGCATCCCCAAGCCAGAGAGCAGACCAAACCATGAAGATCTGTTCAGAGTCAGGCATCCCTGAGTCCAAGAGCAGACCAAACCCAGCAGTGAGGCAGTCAGAGGCACGCCTCACAGCCAAAACCCTGGGAAAGTGATACACCTGGCACCAGGGTTTATGAAAACAAGAAGAGGGGTTAAGCTATCACTTTCAACAAAGTGAATGTTTTCGTTCCAAGATTCAGGGACTTAGCAATTGCTGGCCAAAGGAGGGGGATGGAGAAGAAGCTGTCTGCAGAGTCTGGAGAGACAAAAAAGAATTAGAACTCTCTTCAAACCTCGAAGGTTGGAGGCAAGCCTGGGTCAAGCTTCCACTGCCCACTGCTCCCCTAGTTGAAAGTCTCAGGAGGTGGAGGAGAGAGAGAAATAGAGAATGTACCCATATGAACCACCGAAATGTTAGGGTGGTAGGTGATGCAGGCTGCGAAAGAATTCACAAAGAGGAGAAAATGCAAACAGCAAAGTTTTTATTCACTTTCCAAGAGTGGAAAGGGGCATGATGTGGAGAGATACACCAGCACTGAGGGGTGGGGGCTTTTAGCTTTTGTTGGATTATGATTGGATTATAAATTCAATGGTGTGGCCCCTGGGCTGTCGAGGGCCTTGCAACACGGGAGGTTTTGGGTAGTTTTGCATAAGCTACAGTTTGCTCCTATGTTATTTTTTGCCTGTGGCTGTGAGGGGCAGTTAGCCACGGTTTGCTCTTGCTTTTCCACTAGTGCTTCAGTCCTGGGGACATAAGCTCAGAAGAGTAAAATATCAGGCATGTTTGACAACGTCATAAGACCTGCTTGGCCAATGGTGCCACTATAGCAAATGAGTCTGGTTTTGTCCTTTCAATAAAATTACAATTCTATAATACATCACCTGTATATTATATCGTTTGTTCACCACCTGAAGTCAAGTCTTCTGGCTTAGTGTTTTTTTTTTTAAGATTTAATTAATTTATTTTTAGAGAGGTGGGAAGGGAGGTAGACAGGAAAGGAGAGAAACAGTGAGAGAGAAACATCAGTTATCTCTGTTAGTGCCTGACCCTGACCCTGCACAAACCCGACTGGGGTGGAACCTGCAACCAAGGCATGTGTTCTGACCAGGAATTAAACCAGCAACCTTCCACTTTGCTGGACGACACCCAACCAACTGAGCCAAAGTGGTCAGGGCCTGGTTTAGTACTTTGATTTTTGCAAATATATGTAAAATAAGAATTAAGTAGTTGGGTGTGGCCTTGGGCCTGGACCACGCCCACCTCATTCCGCAAAATCCGCCTTTCACCTATCACCCGCGCCTCTCTTAAATCCCGCCCAATCCCGTCTCACCTAGCCTTTCACGCGGCAAACTAGGTTTTCTCCATGCCTTTAAACCTAGACCATCCAAAGTTCCCTGAGCCTCATTCCAGCCTATCACGGTAGAGGCACTGA